ACAAAAACAACGACAACGACAACGACAACCACGACAACAACAACATCAACAACAACAACAACAAAAGCAACAGCAACAGCAACAGCAACAGCAACAGCAACAGCAACAGCAACAGCAACAGCATCAGCAACAGCAACAGCAACAAGCAACAATCACAAGCAACAAGCAACAAGAAGCAACCAACAACAACCAACCAGCACCAACACCAACACCAACACCAAGTAGTAGTAGTAGTAGTAGTAGTAGTAGTAGTAGTAGTCGAAGAGGACGGCACACTGACGATGGTGTAGCCGCCCGCCAGTCACCTTGAGGGGCGGTCACTGAGTGCTTGCAGCAGCTCTCCGCAAAATGCGCCGCTGCTGCATCACCTCCTTCAAGCAGTCATGCCATGCCTGCGGCAGCTCGTAGTCCCTGCACCCGCCTCGCCGCTCCCTTGTTGCGACATGCAATGCTGGCCTTGGCTGCATTCACTGCTCGGTCCTCGGCCCGGGCACTCAAGAAGAACATCTCCTTGGGCATGTCCGGGCGGTATACTCCTGCCGATGGCGCATGCGCATGGTGTGCCTGTGCTGCCCTGCTGCCCTGCCGTGCCATCGTCCTTCATGCCCAGACCGCACCCAGGGACCGGGCATCGCCAGCAGCAAGCCGGGCTCCACGGCACAAAGACAACTCGCTTCTCCTACTTGCCCAAGGTGGCGGCCACATCGGCATGATGCTTGCGAATGTGCTCGGTTTTGAGCTGGCGCCAGCGTGGCCCTGCAGCAACCCAGCCGCACTCTGGGCACGGCCACGAGCTCCGGTACTCTTGCCCCGCTTGGAGCGCACATGCCCATTGCTGCGCGTTGCAGCCGGTGGTGGCGGTGGCATAGCAGCAGTCTCCTCCTCCAGCAGGTCGTCAATGTCGAGCTCCTGAATGGCAATGGTGCCGGCTCGCCCCTGCTCCAGCTGGTCCCTGTCTGCCGCCGAGGCCCCTGCATCCAAGCCAGTGCCCGCAGCCTCCAGGTCGTGGTCCCCAGCCGTAAAAGCCCTTAAGCTCGCAGCCCGAAAGGCATCCCGCAAAGTGTGCACCGAGGGCTGGCTGCCGCGCGAGAACTGGCATGCCGAAAGCTGTGACTCCTGTTTTCGCCGCTGCCGGTATTCCTTGGCCTTGTCCTCGGGCAGCAAGAGGTCATAGTGGTCGGCATGGTACCACAGTGCCAGTGTCCTGGACCCGTCCCGTGCTTGGTAGGGGGATCCTTGGCAGCCACCGGGACCACAATCAGAGTCAGGTCGACGTCCCAGAAGCCTGCAAACTCCTCGGCCTTGCGCGTCATGTAAGCATGGATCTCCGCCCTATAACAAGGCGAGCCCTTGCCCCAGCGAGTGCGCCAGGCAGTTGCCATCGCGAGGCATCGTTTTGAGAGCGACCCCCGCCCACCTGCACCGCCCGCAGCTCAGGACGTAGATCTCCACCGTGTCTTTGCCCTCGTTGACGCTGATGGTGGCCAGGTCCTCCTTGCCGGCCGCCCGCACAAACCATGTGGCTGTCCCTTTGCGCACCATGCGCGAAGTGATTGTCACCTGCGCAAAGCCAGCCTCCTCAAGGACCTCCTTGACAACCTCGGCGTCACAGTGGCGCGGCACGGCCGGCACCCTCCAAGCCCGGACCTGCTGGTCGGCAGGCGTCTCCGTTCGGTGCCCAAGCTGGCGCCGGCCCATCACCAATCCCCACTTGCACTTGATGTGCGGAAGTAGTCCTCCACCGGCTCGCCCGCCTCGGTCTCGACCCATGCCACGCCGTAGCTTGCAGTCCTGCCAGTCGGTTCCACAAAGAGGCCGTCCTGGCCCGATCGCCCCAGCACGGACGCCACCAAGCTCTTCTTGACCCGGGCCAGGCCAACAATGACTGGTCCAAGCCGCCTTTCCTCCGCCGCGCCCCAAGCATCAGTCACAGCCAGCCGGGCCATGACAAAGCCGCAGAAGCCTTTCAGAGCTTCCTTCCATGCCTTGCCCTCCGCAAAGTCCTTGGCCAGGATCACCCGGACGACCTCGGTCTCCTCGGTCTTCACGGCCTGCGGGGCCGTGCGCTTGCCCTTCAACTTCGGCAGCGCGACCGAAACTCCTTGACCGCATGGTAACGCCAGCCTCAGTCCAGTAAGGCAATCGAGCCCTTGCCTTCCGGATGCGGGTAGGCGAGCACAACAGATGACTGAAGCCCGCCCCCTGCAATCATTGCCTCCACGACCAGCGCCTGGTTCTCGTCCTTGGCGCCGATCACGATGCTCTCGCCCACGCCCTGGTAGCTGGCGAGCTCGTCCACGGTCAGCAGGTTGCCGGCCCAGTCCGTGGCCCTTAGTGCTGCTGCGGTGCTGTCTTGGTCGCAGGCCGTGGCTGATTGTCGCCCTTGCCCTTGCCTTTGCCAGCCTCGCCTTTTGCCACCACCCCTCTGCCCTTGCCCTTCGATCTCCACCACTTGGCTGGGTTGTGGAAGCCGATGCCGCGGCCGCTGCATTGCCCTTGCCTTTGTCCTTGACCTTGTCTTTGCCCTGTCCCTGCAAGCTCTGCACCGTGCTGTTGACGGCCGCCATGGGAGCAGAGAAGTCGCCGCCTTGTCCCGCAGCCAGCTGTGTCAAAATCTGCAGCAGCGACTGGATCAGGGAGATCAGCATGTTCAGCTGGCTCGGGTCGACAGCCGGACCAGGGTTGGCCGCCTCTCCCACCCTTTCTCCAGCATGTCCAAGCAGGCGTTCCTGCCGCTTGCGCGCTGTGCGCCTGGACCCTCCCGCCCCAGCGTGAGGCCCAGGATGGCTGGCTTCTCCTACGCGGATCCCAACCAGCCCCAAAAGTCTCTTCCTGCCAGGCTCGCCCAGCAGCTCCCTTCTCACATGGCTCACCCCAAAGTAAAAAGTCACCCCTTTGATCTTGCCCCGCCCGAAGAAGACACAGCCGCCCTCCTCGAAGAAATCCCCTGAAAACACGGGCCCCCCTGCATTCACAAAGCAATGCAGCCGCCCATCACTCTGGTATACCGCACAAGTCGCGGTCCTGTCCTGGCTGTCCACCGACCCGGTCACGCCAAGGGGCCCCATGAAGCCCTCGGCAAAGTCCGGGCTATCCTTAAAGTCACGCTGCTCACTGTTCGCTTCCACGAAGGGTCCCGCTGCCGCCGCGGGGAGGTAGTGAGCTTGTTGGCAGCCAACACCAACACCAACACAAACCAAGCAACCGACCGAGCAACCAACCAACCGACCGACCAACCGACCAAGCAACCAACCCACCCACCCACCAACCAACCAACCAACCAACCCACCGACCAACCAACCCACCGACCAACCAACCAACCAACCCATCAACCCATCAACCAACCAACCAACCGACCGACCAACCAACCAACCAACCGACCCACCGACCGATCAACCCACCAACCAACCAACCCACCGACCGACCAACCAACCAACCCAACAAATCAACCAACCAGCCAACCAACCAACCTACCTACAAGTACCAACCAACCAACCCAACGCAACTCAACCCACCCCCACACACCCACCCACCC